TATGAAAACAGTTTTATGTTCTTCTGATTTAGCAAAAATCATGTTATGTACATCGGCATTTAATAAATGGTGTTTGCTTTTATTAAATTATGTTCTAAGTTTTCAGTCTTCATAGTTTGAAATGTCAATTTGGCTTTTAATTCTTCTTCCGACATGGTGATAAATAATACACTGTAACTCTCCTACCAAATCTTAAGTTGGTCTAGTTGTCCGAAACAGCTCTTCACATCATATGTATACAGCTATATCACTATAGTGGAACCATTATCGACACTTAACCAATCTCTCATGTTGAAACTGGAGATCTAAATTATGCACATCACACTGCCATATATTCCGATTTAACCATTGACTTATCCTGTGCACGACGCCATTTGTGATAACCAGATCAATGACATTATGATAATGGTAATGATATTGGCAGTAATGACAGTGTGCTGTACAAATTAAAAATAAGAAAAACATGAAATTACTTACAAATGTAAATCCACATGAATGTAATGATGCATTGCTAAAAAATAAATAAAATAAATTTACAAAATATGACAGACAGTTGACCTTTCTATTATAAAGATTTATAACATATTACATTCATAATAATCTCATGAATAGATATATAATATGCTTTCATATAAATCTTACCCCAACTAGGGCCTCAATGCATAAACTCAGGTCAAGGTCACCGTCGACCACAGTGATACTGTACAACCTAACGAAAAATCAATATAACTATGTAAACTCTATTTGTAGTTGTAAACAACAAAGAATTTTTGTATTTCTTTTGTTTGATATTTAAATAGTGATTGATTGTAAGAAATATAAGAATTTCTGAATGAAAATCAGATTGATTTATTATGTTTTCTAATATAAACCCAGAGACAATGGACATAGCTTACTGGAATTCAATTTCCACTTTTGATGAGCTAAAAGATAGCAGTAAGCCAGAAGTTATGAAGAAGGATATGGAAATAACGAACAATATTCAATCTCAACGTCTATTAAACAAATATACAAAATAAGAGCAGAGCAAAAACGGACCTCCGAAACATCAGAGGTGGGATCAGGTGCCATGGAGGAATGAGCATCCCCTGCCGACCGGTCACACCCGCCGTGTGCTCGTTGTCATAATCAGGAAATAACGGAAAAAATCCGTGGTCAATTCAGTGTATAAATAATGGACTAACAATTGGTATGAAAAACGTCAGTTAGCATTTCATTCAATGATAAATTGTATTTTCTGACAAGATCATTGTATCGACCATAGAATTTACGAAATGATGACTTTAAACGAGACTGTTGATATTCTTGTTTCATCAACTTGTTTGTCAATAATTTACCTCGTTTACCTCATGAAATGTTTTAAGCCTTGTTTAATTAGTTCATCATCATGTGTTGCTGGATTACCTTTTATCATTATTCAACTTAACTTTCACCTCTTGAGCTGTTACAGCAAATAATCTTTTTTAACACTTCCCAACATATTTTCTTGTTATCTGTTTGTAAATTCTATTAAAGCACCTATTGACCAAGGCATACTGTAAGCCAGTAAGAAAATTAATGAATTTTTTTCTCAGATATCAGAGCCGTAACAAGCAAGTTACAATCAGTGAGATCAAACAAAACTAATTTTAAAATAAATCATGTCATCAGCAGATCTGAATTAATCGAACTCACCCAGGCTCCTGAGTAGATGTCTCTGATACAGCTAAGGGACTATCTTTGCATTTGAAAGTCCACCAAGCCTTGAATTTTGAACCCCCGCTTCAAGGGGATACATAATCTTTCAGGATTGAAAAAACCTAAACCTAAACCATGCTGCAGTGATCCACCGATACATTCTGCGTGGTCTTTATTGTCCGAGGGTGAGTCATGCAGTTTGGTTTACCACATTATCAAGCATTCGGCATGTATTTACATGTACCAAAAAAATTCATTGTTTATTTTCTGTTAGAAAGAATATTTATAAATGTAATTATCATCACGGGAGATGTGCAATACCAGATGAAGTCTTTAACCGAATGCCTGATAGACAAAGAAGGTACTAAAGAAAAGGTTTGGGAAAACATGCCAGGATCTAATGCAGAAAAAGAAGAAAACATTGAGAATGTTAAGTAAGTAATAATAACTTCCCAGAAGCCAAACTTGTTTTTTATGTCTTATTTTACCGAACCAACGGTACAGGCCTACAGAATAAAATTCAGTAGTGAAAACCAATTTATATTTTGCATTTTATAGAATGTTAGGTCATTATAGAATAGGAAATATATATGGGGAATGGATAAAATTTAAAAGTTGTCAAATTATAGTTCTTGTTAAAGTCATTAAACATTCTTGACATTTGTTCCAAGAGATTGTTTTCAGATTATAAGTTTTCATGTATTTCGTAAATCATGATCTCTCTAAAGGTACAAAAGATGAATTCATTTATCACTGAATATCAAGAAAATACTTCAGTTTGTCATAAACGAAGTGAACAAAACTGACTTGAATAAGGCGATGCATGGAGTGGTGTTTGAAAAAGTTTGTCAGATACTAGAGTTTTTGCTTCCTGTTAGGTATATATATATAATACATATAGATTTTATCAGAAGCAGACTATATTTAGTTTACCTTTATTTCAGTATACCATCATCATATTGTGACTTTTGGTCCAAAATGGCTTAAAAGCATTTCCGAATTTCATTTCTCATTTCTGATTTTGTAAGTTCTGAATAAAAAGAGAAAACAGAAAAAGGTATGCCATTGTTCTCGGAAAAAAATCTTTAAATTCATGTCACTTAAATGACCTACATGTACTTATCTATATCAGGGCCCCGATTAGCGGGCTCCCTATAGTGATCAGTCTGATGGCCACCATCTCAATGATATCTCATGCTATGACTGATTTGTTTCTTAAAGATAGAACTCAATGTAGAAGATTCAACTTAGGAGGAGGCAAAGACATTATTCATACTTTTGTTGGCATTAAAAGCATATCAAGAAGGTGACCCGAGGTCCCCTCTTTTAAAGGTCATTTGACTTCTGGGTTGCGTTTTACAAAAGGTCGTAAGTCTTAGACTTAGTCGTAAGACCAGTCTTAGAGGAGATGCGACCGTTTTACAAAGATTTGAGACTTGTGACTTACGACCGAAGTTGGTCGCAAGTCTACGACTGCTAAAGCATTGTCGTAAGTCGTAGAAATTTTCGCTGTTGCTAAAGTAAATTAAATCTTGAAAAACCCCGTCGTTACTTATCATTAATGAGTGTGAAGAAGAGGAAAATGTTTTGAGAAAACCACGGGTGTTTCGAGATAGGACAAACCCGTTGGACTACCTGACGGACGGGGAAATCCGAGTCACCGAGAGCGGTATAGGCCGTTTACACCTGCTGCAGCTGGTGAAGTTGATGAGGGATGACATCGTCAAACCAACACGGCGGAGTAAACCTCTTTTACCCCCCCCCCCAACCCATACAAGTAAAATACCTCCTGTAATTTACACATCTCATCACATTTACAGTCAGCATGTACAAAACTTTTTATTTGTAAACGTCACTTCCTGTAACGTCATATTTAATTTTGGGGAGTGGATCAAGGATTCAAATTCTCCACCCGTTCTTGAAAAAATCTTGATAATATTTTCTTTGTTGTTTTGAAGTGTTTTTATTTTCTTCCTTTACGATTTATTGTTTTCCCCTTGTTCTTACAAAAAACAAGTGAGAGAGAGAGAGCAATTCAATAAATTCTTCCAATATACCAAATCAATAAGTAATAGCACAAATAAATATATCTTTCTATCTAGCTCTGCAAAATCAATTTTAAAAAATTCAGCAATGGAATCATTTATCAAGTGTTCATGTAATAATACAAAACACTTAAGTAAATAAATCTTTATTATAACAGACCCGTAGCTATATACGCATTCGCCAGAATACATATGCGTATAGGCTACATCACTTTCAATAATTTGAAGAGAAAAATAAAATAAAATTGAAATCTCTGCTGAAATTTACTGTGAATTTAAAATAGATGCTTTGCATATGTTCTGTAACACATGGATATTTTTGAAAAGATACCTACCGTATTTGAGAAATGTAATTTCCATCATATCGTAGAAAACTTTGATATTCTCCTAGTATTACATATCCATATGCAATCTATGTAGATGAGGAACCCTCGACGTTTAGCCGTAAGAATAAAGATATGGACCAGGCACAAATTATGAACTTTTTTTCCTTTCAGTGTTCTTAAACTTGCACAAATGACCGTGGGTCAAGGTAATGACACACCCTCAAGACATAAGCAATCTTTGTGTAAAACATAAACTTTACCAAGTTTTTTTCTTTAAGAAAGATATGAACCAAATATTAATTATGACCTTTTTTTTCTGATCACCCGTTGTCCGTCCGTCCGTCCGTCTGTAAACTTTTCACATTTTCAACTTCTTCTCAAGAACCACTGGGCCAATTTTAACCAAACTTGGTACAAAGCATCCTTGGGTGAAGGGCCAAGACCCCTTCCAAGGGGAGATAATCAAAAAATAAAAAAATAGGGTGGGGTCACTAAAAATGTTCTTCTCAAGAACCACTGGACCAGAAAAGCTGAAACTTATATGAAAGCATCCTGGGGTAGTGTAGATATTAAATTGTAAAAAAAATTATGACCCTCGGGGGTAGGGCGGGGCCACAATAGGGATTCCAAGTTTAACATAGAAATATATAGAACAAATCTTTAAAAATCTTCTTCTCAAGAACCACCAGGCCAGGGAAGCTGAAACTTATATGGAAGCATCCTTGGGTAGTGTAGATATTAAATTGTTAAAATAATGACCCCCGGGGGCTAGGGAGGGGCCACAATAAGGAATCCAAGTTTTACATAGAAATATATAGAACTAATCTTTAAAAATCTTCTTCTCAAGAACCACTGGGCCAGGAGAGCTGAAACTTATGTGGAAGCATCCTTGGGTAGTGTCGATATTAAATTGTTAAAATCATGACCCCCGGGGGTAGAGCGGGGCCACAATAGGGAATCCAAGTTTTATATAGAAATATATAGAACAAATCTTTAAAAATCTTCTTCTCAAGAACTGCTTGGCATCAAAAGCTGAAACTTATATGGAAGCATCCTTGGGTAGTGTTGATATAAAATTGTTAAAATCATGACCCCGGGGGTAGGACGGGACCACAATAGGGAATCCAAGTTTTACATAGAAATATACAGAACAAATCTTTAAAAATCTTCTTCTTAGAAACCACTGGGCCAGGAGAGCTGAAACTTATGTGGAAGCATCCTTGGGTAGTGTAGATATTAAATTGTTAAAATCATGACCCCCATGGGTAGGATGGGGCCAAAATAAGGAATCCAAGTTTTACATAGAAATATATATAGAACAAATCTTTAAAAAAGATCTGCATCACTCAAGTTACTCAGGTGAGCGATGTGGCCCATGGGCCTCTTGTTCTTTCAATGACCTTGAACTTGCACAATTGACCTTCCTTCAAGGTCATGACACACCCTTAGGTCACGAGCAAGCTATGTGTGAAGTAGTAGATTCTAATTTTCCTCCATAAGAAATATATGGACCGGACACGTTTGCACAGACAGACAGACAGATGGACAAGCTGATTCCTATATAGCCCCCAAACTTTGTTGGCGGGGGGTATAGATATCATTTAACATGAATAATTTTGACCTTTGGAACTTGACCTTAGAGATATCCGTCCTTAAGAAAAAACTTAACCTTGACCATACCTTTTGCTCGTGCCATATGGGGCATCTGTGTTTCACAAACACATCTTGTTGCATTCGCAACCTTATATTTAATCAAAACTTATTTTCAATATACACCGGTGTTAGCAACTGTAAGATGTTTGTCGAAGGGAAACTTTTTCCGAGTGTGGGGACCTGCAGGGTATTTCTAGGGCAAGTGTTTGTGTGTCCATGGATGCTGTGCTCACCTCTATTTGCCAGAGACTGGACAACATACACTTCCCAACAACAGAGAGATGAGCTACAGAGAGCAAAGGTTGGATTTTTTAAACTTGCTCGAATGCCCAACGTCCTTGGAGCAGTCGACGGGACACTGATTAAAATATTGGCTCCACCTCGGAATGAACCCAGCTATGTCTGCAGGAAAGGTTACCATGCTTTAAATGTGCAAGCTGTTGCAGACACTTCTCTCAGGTATAAAATGCACATACTAATATTAAATAAATGCAAAGCATCAAATGAGTTGCAAAAAGTACGTGCAATTTAACTATTTTACAAAACAAGGTCAAGAAATACACTTGTTATTTTTTATGCCCGCCATGAATATGGCTGGGGCATATAGTGTTTGTCATGTCCGTCTTCCGTCCTTCCGTCCCACTTTGTGTTTAGCTCTGTTCAAAGCTAAGTTTCAAAGAAACTTTCCAAGACATTTTCATCAAACTTCATATGCTGATAAATATTGATGAGAGCTATGCAACTGCATCAACATTTTTTGACGACCTTTCTTTAACCCTTGACCTCACTTTTCTTAAATAAGTGTTTTGCTCAGTATTAAACATACCATTCCAGATGGTGTTATCAAACTTCACATGTTGATACAAACTTGCACGGATGATGCATCAAGGGATGGTCACTATCAGAATTGCTTCGGATGCTGGATCTGACCTACATTTTCCAGATGAGTGACCAGGTTCAAGTTTTTGGAGCAGGTCCATTCCCAAGGAACTATAAGCCTTACTTAGACCAAACTTGCATGGATGATGCATCTTAAGATGGACATTACCAGAATTGCTTCGGATTCTGGATCTGACCTACATTTTCCAGATGAGTGATCAGGTTAAAGTTTTTGGAGCAAGTCCATTTCCAAGGAACTATAAGCCCTACCCAAACCAAACTTTCACGAATGATGCATCTAGGGATGAACACTACCAGACTTGCTTTGGATGTTGGATCTGACCTACATTTCCAGATGAGTGACCAGGTTAAAGTTTTTTGGAGCAGGTCCATAACTGAGGAACTATAAGCCCTACTTGGACCAAACTTGCACGAATGATGCATCTAGGGATGGACACTACCAGACTTGCTTCGGATGCTGGATCTGACCAATATTTTCATTCCCAAGTAACTATAAGCCCTACCTGAACCAAACTTGCATGGATGATGCATCTAGAGATGGACACTACCAGACTTGCTTGGGATGCTAGATCTGACCTATATTTTTATCCCCAAGTAACTATAAGCCCTACCTGAACCAAACTTGCATGGCTGATGCATCTAGGGATGGACAATACCTGACTTGCTTCGGATGCTGGATCTGACCTATATTTTCATTCCCAAGTAACTATAAGCCCTACCTGAACCAAACTTGCATGGATGATGCATCTAGAGATGGACACTACCAGACTTGCTTGGGATGCTGGATCTGACCTATATTTTCATTCCAAAGTAACTATAAGCCCTACCTGAACCAAACTTGCATGGATGATGCATCCAGGGATGAACACTACCAGACTTGCTTCGGATGCTGGATCTGACCTATATTTTCATTCCCAAGTAACTATAAGCCCTGCCTAAACAAAACTTGCATGGATCTCCCTTTTGGAAGAAGGTGTGGCCCTTCATTTACCAACAACTTGAAATCTTTACATTACAGGTTCACAGATGTGGTTTGTTAATAGCCAGGAGCTGTCAATTACAGTTTTGTGTTTACTCAGTCGGCACTGAATAATCACCTGAGTGGAGGAATTAATGGCTGGCTTTTGGGAGATTCAGATGACCTACACTTCATTTTTCTTCAGAAAAATTCATATTAATAAATTTATGCAAATTTTACATCAAATTTATCAAGCAAATAATTTTACAAGGATATCCCTTGAAGTCATACTTAATGACCCCTATCAACAAGAGTTGTAGTCGAGAGGGCTTTTGGAGTTCTTAAGTTCAGATTCGATTCAGATAAGGATTTTTCTCCCCTTTTTAATTGACCCTAACATAATCTGTTGAAAATAAAATGGTTATATTTAAAAAAAATGACCACATCAATTGCAATGCAGATGCTTGCATCCAACTGGAGGTGTGATGCCCTTTGCACTGCCGAAGTCAATTAAGGTCATTGTTGCCTGTTTTAAGCTTCACAACAAATGCATCGATGATGGAGTTCAAAATCCAGATGTGGAAAAAACAGCAGAGGAAGCACAGAACAGACATGTGATGGCCAATCTACCTTTAAATCCTGCTGGGCAGCAGGTCAGACAGAGACTGGTACAACGCTTCTAATAAAACAAGGTACAAAAATTTTAATTTTACAATAAAATTTTACTAATTTATTCACATTTGAAAAATTCATAACATTGCAAAATTGTGCGGAAAAAAACTATATATAAGTAAATATACTGGTTAATTGCTGTAAGGGGATAAAGATTGGTCAGTGAGCAACCTGTGTATTTAACCTTATACATGTTTCGCAGTACTGTTAAGGCTTCCCGGAGCTTAAAATGCATGTAAAACATAACGAGTACGACTGCATTGTAAAATTGATTTTGAGTTTTATTTTTAAGTTATGTACTTAATAACACCCAATTCATATAGATATTTCTCTAAGCTATATATAAACATATTTGTTATAATATCACATAACCTTGTTGATCACGTGACGGTCATTAATTTCTTCTTTATTGGAATGTTTCACATAAATAGCTTCGGCGCAGGTTATTAACACACTTATTATTAACTTTTTGTCACATAAATAAACTTGCTGCATCCTTGTGAACCCGAAATGTGCTTTGGAAAAGTTCTACTATTTTTTGGAAGAAAATATTTCACATTAACTTCAGCTTACCGACAAATCTGAGGGTATTTTCCGCTGAATATCGCCATGATGAGTAGTTGCTGAGAAAACTGCGACGAAAATTTGTTATGTATAAAACGGACAAGACGCACAGACAAACAGGAAGTTAATATCGGATTTGAGTGAAAATGTATCTCACCATATGGCATGCCTCAGAGAAGATTGTGTTAAAATTTCAAGCTTCTACCATGAGTAGTTGCTGAGAAAACTGCGACGAAAATTTGTTACGGACGGACACACGGACAGACAGACACACAAGGGTAAAACAGTAAACCCCCCTCTCCTTCGGAGCGGGGGTATAATTAAGAAACGCAGTTCAAAAACTACTGAAGCCTATAAATTCAATGGATTTGCAGCATTTTCTAAGTTTACCAAGAATTTTCTTTTAGAATTTGACATCGGATTGACATTGAAAAACTTTTTTGGGGTTTGGGTGCGGTTGGGGCTTAAAATAAAGAGTTATATGTTGTTCCTTAGAAAGATATAAGCAAAAAACAGTACATTAAAAACCCAACACATGCAGCTAAAGATCGCGGGAATCTAATTTCAATTAAATTTAGCATGTTACATCTACATAAGATACAAAAATAAGTAGAATATTTTCTACAATTCTCTCATAAAAAGGATAAGTGAAGGTGAGCGGAGGAAACTAAATGTATAAGAATATATCTATTCAATACATAAGTTAGATGTATAGATATTTATTTTTTGAAAATGTTTTTACCTTTCTCTCTCTCTCTCTCAACTTGGCAAAAAATAAGGGGGGGTCCAACCCCCGGACCCCCCCTCTTCTGGATCCGCCAATGCGTCCGTCTTCTTGTTATGGGTCAGAATAACCCTAAATGCCAACAAAGATCAATCACACAGTTTAAACTTAACAATAATTTATTTACAGTAATATACAAATCATTAAGTACAAACTTAGCAAAAATCTAAAAAATACATACATCAGAGTGTCCGTTGCTGCACACAATGTCCCAGTGAAATTATATCCCAGTAATACCTCAATGATGCTTATACGACAATATATCTATGCATCGAATTGACAGGGTATTTATACAGTAATATAAATCTAGAATATTCTAGAAATTGTAAATACATGATATTCCTGGAAAGTTCTAGACATAAACAAAGTTCAAGAATGTTCTAGAAAAAATGACCAAACATATTGATCACTCTGGAATGTTCAAGAAACTTAATGTTACTAATAATATACATGATGAAACAATACACATCTCACAACACCTCCCCCCTTAAAAAGTTTGAATGTCAATGAAAACTTATCTTGTTAAAACATATGTACCAAATCCAGTATGTTTACGATACTCTTGACAAGGCGTCTGCTATAACATTATCTTTGCCTTTGATATGTTTAATTGTTATGTTGTATTCTTGTAACAACAAACTCCATCTAGTCAGTCTTTGATTCTTGTTTGACAATTTATGCAAAAATGTCAGGGGGTTGTGATCCTTATATACAAGAATTGGATGCAAAGTAACATTCAGATAAACATCAAAATGCTGTAAGGCTAACAACAAAGCAAGGCATTCCTTTTCAATGGTGGAATACTTTTGTTGACATTTCGTAAGTTTCTTTGAAAAATAAGAAACAACTCTATCTACCTTATCACTATGTTCTTGAAACAAAGCTGCCCCGATTCCAACATCACTAGCGTCGAAGGTAAGCTTAAATTGCTTAGAAAAATCTGGAGTTGACAGAACTGGGTTGCTCATTAGGACATATTTGATTTTATGAAATGATTTTTCACAGTCCTTTGTCCTTTCAAAGTTAACCCTCTTTTGTAAAAGATTTGTAAGTGGACTAACAACTGAGGAAAAATTTGGACAAAATTTTCTGTAAAACCCAGCCATGCCCATAAACCTCATTAATTCTTTCTTGTTTGTAGGAATCGGGAACTTTGCAATAGCTTCCACTTTAGCCATAATGGGTGTAACATAACCTTGACCTACTTTATGACCTAAATACTCTACATAAGCATGACAAAATTCGCTCTTCTCAAGGTTCACAGTTAAGTGTGCTTTAGCTAAAATGCCAAATAAAGCACGCATGATTCGGAGATGTTCGTCCCATGTGTCGCTGTATATGACGACATCATCAATGTAGGCCTCGCATCCCTCGAGGTCTTGAAGAAGGGAGTGAACCATCCTTTGGAATGTAGCCGGTGCGTTTTTCATGCCAAAAGGCATTACTTTATACTGGTAAAGTCCATCTGGTGTAGCAAAAGCAGATATTTCTTTTGCTCTTTCTGTTAACGGCACTTGCCAGTAGCCTTTCAACAGGTCAAATTTACTGACAAATTTGGCGTTTCCAATGCTGTCAATACAGTCATCAATTCGAGGTATTGGATATGAATCAGTTTTGGTAACAGAATTCACCTTTCTAAAGTCTGTACATAATCGGTAGGTACCGTCCTGTTTTGGTACAAGAATACATGGTGAGCTCCAGTTACTTTTACTAGGTTCAACAATGTCATTGTCCAACATGTACTGCACTTCCCTTCTTAGGTACTGCAATTTTATTGGATTGAGACGGTATGGATGTTGTTTGATAGGCAGGGCGTCGCCAACTATAACATCATGACAAGCTGCATTAGTTTTCTTTGGAACATCCGAGAAGATTTGATGATACTCATTCATCAAGTTTTTAACTTGTTCTTTTTGGTGAATGTTCAAATGTCCAAGTTTGGCATCCAAATTAGCCAAAACTTCTGAGTTTTTCAAACGAACACTCTGATTACAATCTTTCTCATTCATTTCTACACTCGTATCACTTTCAATACAATTTTGAACAGTCTTAGCATTGGCTAAAGTGGAAACTGGTTTTACAGAATTTCGGTCACACCTTTCTAAATACTCTTTCAACATGTTAATGTGACAAACCCGTTTCTCTTTACGTCGACCTGGTGTCTTAACTTATACATAGTTTACATCACTGATCTTGCTTTCAATTTCATAAGGGCCATAAAATCTGGCCTGTAAAGGATGACCAGGAATAGGTAAAAATACAAGAACCTTATCGCCTGGCTTAAACACCCTATTTCTGGCATCTTTGTCATACCACATTTTCATTTTCATCTGAGAACTCTTCAAATTTTCTTGTGCTAATTTACAAGCATTGTAAAGTTTTTCTTTGAAATCAGACACATAATCTAAAAGATTGAGATCACTAGTCTCAGTCAGCCACTTTTCCTTCAACAATTTCAAAGGACCCCTAACCGTATGACCAAACACCAATTCAAAAGGACTAAACCCAAGAGACTCCTAGACTGCCTCTCGTGCAGCAAATAGTACAAGATGAACCCCTTCATCCCAGTCTTTTTCATACTGGCAACAATAGGTCTTCAGCATTGTTTTTAAGGTCTGGTGAAAACGTTCTAGCGCCCCCTGGGACTCAGGATGATAAGCAGTTGATCTATACTGCCTAATACCCAACTCATGCATGACTTGCTGGAACAACCCCGACATAAAATTTGAGCCTTGATCCGACTGAATTGCCTTGGGTGCTCCTACAAAACTGAAAAACTTGGTTAGGGCCTTAACTATGCTCTTTGCCTTTATATTCCTAAGAGGTATGGCTTCAGGAAATCGAGTGGATGTACACATAATGGTAAGTAAATACTGGTTTCCTGACCTAGTCCTAGGCAAAGGTCCTACACAATCCACCAACACTCGACTAAACGGTTCTTCAAAAGCTGGAATGGGTTGGAGAGGAGCAGATGGTATCCTCTGATTTGGCTTACCTACCATCTGACAGACATGGCATGACTTGCAAAACTTCGAAACATCCTTTCTTAGCTTAGGCCAATAAAAATGACTCAAAATCCTATTATGTCTTATTGATACCTAAATGACCAGCCATGGGCGTATCGTGAGCTAAACTCAGGACATCTCGACGATAAGCAGCTGGGACCACTATCTGGTGAACAACACGCCACACTTCATCTGGGGAAGCGTCAGGTGGTCGCCATTTTCGCATAAGGATGCCATCTTTCATATAGAAGCATTCTCCAACTTTAGTAGCCTCTTCTGGTGGAAGTGCCCTCTTAATGAGTTGAATGATATCTGGGTCTTTATGTTGTTCAGAGAGTAAACGTTCTCGGCTGAGGATGTCCTTGCCTTGGCTTTCTGGTAGATTTGACTCATCTTCATTACCACTAAATTTTGATAAAGGTTCCTTCGTCACCGACTTCTTGATATTGTGTGGTTCCATGTTTGTTTGAGTGCCATCAAGGTCAGATAAGAAAGTATCATTCAAATCAATATCAACAGAGGAATTCGTCTCGTCAAAGGCTTGAGTATGGTCTGCCTCCATTTCTCGTCTTCTGGCCATCGCTCTAGTAACGGCACAGGCTGGATAAATGTCATCATCTTCATCATCGCACATGACACTGGAAGTGATTTTCTCACA